TTCCAATCGAAAATCCATCCAAACGGACCGGAGTTAGCCCTCGAAGAAAATCAAAATCCCACAGTATTTTAGCGTCTGGAATGCGTAGCAAGATTCTCATGTGCCAGCCAGAAACCGTCACGTTGATTGCCCTTTTCTGATTGGACGACGTTAAACGATGACCAATTCAAAATATCTAACGAGGGTGGGGAACCATTGGCGTTTAGTGACCCTTCAACTGTTTACCCACCAGACTCGGGTCGTGTGTCTTAACGCTCACCGGATGCAACTTACATTTTCGCCCATTGTTCGCATCTCCTTCATCAACTGCATCAAAAGTAAACAGGTCACCCGGCAACATAAACAGCACCTGTGAATTAAAACATTGTACTGGTAAGCGCCGGAAAAAGATATGAGTCGCCGTTTCTTCCATTTAATCTGAAAGAGGCCAAGCCAAGGCTTTGATGAAAGCATAGGAAATATCGCTGCACTTTCCCATGCACACTTCTCGCAGACAGGCGACGAATAGCTAGGCCTTGTCACGGTTTTCGGTGCCATCTTTATGGGTCAAAGCGGTCTGAAATTACGGTGTTTGTATGGGAATCCCATGGCAAATAATAACTTTTCCCAAAATCGAATGTTATGCAATTTATGAATCGCAACGTTAAAACATTGAGCAGAAGATTGTATTCACCAAGTTTGAAGAACGTAGGTTGGATAGAAGACGCTCAATTAATTTTTCTAATTTTCCATACATTTGTCTGTAAATTTTTCTGCGCCGCCCCTTCAGTCGTCGCCTGTCTACGAGAAGTGCGCATGGGAAAGTGGATGTAAAATGCGAAACAATCGAGTTTGCATGTGAATTTGTACGTTTTCGAATAACTGACGGCATCGTCAAGTCAGCTCATTTCATCCAACGTTAAAATTTGATTAAATCGCACTGAATCATTTTCCCAAAAAATCCTTTGGACATCGAAAAGAAGCACACTTCGCCTTCCAAAAGCCAGATTATCAGTCGATTATTTTAATAGCACATAGTTAAATAACGGATTACTTTTGACCTATTTTCAATCTTGTTAAAAGAGGTTGGAATTAAATTAGATTGTGTAAATAAACGATCAAGAATTGCTCAAATTGCTGTCAACATATGTATTGATGTTGTTTTTCAAGATTTGGTAGTTTTTATTGGTTCAAGTGTTTTAAATGCGTGGCGTGACGCTCCGAGATTCGTCTGAAATTTTGAGCTTCAAAAGCGGCATTTGGTCGAACTTCAGTTATCATCGATTTTCTCGAAAATACATCAGTATTCAACCAAACGAATTATGCAGTGCTTTGTTTCACCATAAGGCCTACCTAACTTGAGAATATGAGCCGAATCGATTTTTTGGCTGTTGCCACCAAATGTTTGACCGTTGGTAACATTAACTCTTAAAAGCATTCATTGTTTCCTCAGAACTGTGCAGAAACTAACGAGTCACAACAAAATTCTCCAAGCTGAAAGCTGGCTCTAATAAAGTCTGCGCCATTTTAATTCTCCCAGCAACCTTTGCGCCGCAAACTAGTTTCCATGCTTCGAAGTTAGGAGCGGGACAACACTGTAGGATTTCTCTTGCCAAGTACGTCCATTTCATTGAAGCGGTCGCCCAGTTAAACTGTCAGAGTGAATCTTTTTAAAGCTTTGTGATATTTTTTTTTTTTTTACACAGCTAAATTAACTATTTCTCTGTACACTTTACAGCAAGCTCGCGTGCGTGTTGTTCTCACGTGCACTTTTGTCGCGCGACAACTTAAGTCACGTGATCAAATATTTCTGGCGCCCATGTTTGCCGTAAAAGGCTTTTCTTGGCTTAAAAGTGGTTAATGTATGTTTATCATCAAACTGACGAATATGTGAAATGGGACCTTGGTATAGAAATTCTGTGGTGTTTGATTCAAAATTAGAGGTAAGGTTATTTAGCACATGGTTTTGGCAGGCGACTACGTTTCCCGTAAGGGTAGCTGCACTTACTTTTAGCCGCAACTTTCGTGAAGTTCTAGCGGATAGGTACTGGTCTCATGTATAATAACTACTACGCCTGACTAATGAAACAAAGCATATGTTTATTGTCCTCTCTACGAAGGCTGCTAAGCAGACAACTTCGCCTCGGTTCTCTGGCCACATAAAGTAAAAGCACTTTCCAAGGAGCTGGGTATTATATGGACTTAGGGTGACTTCCATGGATATCCCTATCATTGGTGTCATCTCTGAACTCACCAGTCCAACATCAGTAGATCCAGCTTTTCCCTAGTCCGGCAAACTGAACGGTGAGGTAACTGAGACTTAAGCATCGTGGAAATTGTAATCCTTCTCTAGAGAACACGGATATTGTCTTAATAGACACTTGGTACTTCATCCAAAAGCTGCCACTGTTTATTTTTATGTCTATTAATTCGCTTATTTATTTAAGCTATATCATACAGTTTCTGGTCCTCTGCTATATTCGAATGTATCCGAAACGTCTTTTGTTGTCATTAGCCTTAACATCTTTTTCTGAAAGCTTTTGGTTCTAACATCGCACTCTACTTTTAAAAATAGCTCTATATCTAAGCTTATTTCAAAACTCATCAAAATGGTGCACGTCATACAGCTACTGTCTAGAGCACATGTAAAACTGGCTACAAATTTTCTAATTTTATCAAAGCTTGGTTATCCCGCTCAATCATTATTCAATTTGGGTTAAAAAAATTTTCACGTTTTAGTTGAAGAAACTCCTCATCAGAAGATGAAGAAGAAATTTAGTAATCGTATACTTACAGTATGTTATAAAATTGATTGAAGCACCTCGTAAACGAGCGTGACTACTGAAATTGAGCTTGCGACCCGTTGATAGGGGGTCACATCGCATGTTTCAGAACAGCTTAAAAGATCCACGTTTTAATCAAGCAGCAAGCTAGACATCGAGGTCGTAGAAAAAACTATCCGAAGTTATAGTGATGCATAAGGTCCACGTAATCCTCAATTACTTTGTGACTGCTATCGTAATCGCTCCTCCAGCAGGTAAGTGAGGTTTGTAATTTTGCGATATTAGATGCGACACAGGACGGGATCCTTTGAACCAGACGAGATAGCGAAAGACGGAAATTATTGCTCGGAATGTGCACTCTAGGTTTTGAACCAAAACCATATTCAGTCAGACAGTATAACATAAAAATGAGACTTGCGGTGTAATAAAATATCTGTATCATACCATACGTTCATATTCAGTATATTTCCATGGCAGCTTTGAAAGTGGAAGTGTGACAAGATAGCTACAGTGGATCGTTTCACTTGCCATTCAGACAAAGTCAATGCGGAAGAATTTCTTGTCAGCTTTTCTTCTGGTCATGATTTGTAATTTTTCACTTTTACCCAATTTGGTTTAAAACAAAAATTTTTTTTGAAGAATGCATGGCAGAATCAATCCGTCGATTCTCTGGGATCAGAACGGCAGTAAATTAGGTCAGAATAGACTTCACTTCAATAATTAACATAGCTATGTAGCCAGCTAACCTCGGAAAATATTTATGGGACTCCATCAGCATTTTAATTGGCAGAAAAATTGAACTGCAGTGGATAGTGTTTGTTAATTGCTATTTTTAATTAGCATTCAGTTCCGTTGAGTAATTTTTTTTAAATTTCACTTTGGCGATTCAATGTCAGTTTTCAGATATGCTTGTTTTTGAACGTATATTTCAGAAATTTAATAAATTTCTGCGAAGGAAGAGAAGGCGTTACCATTAAGTCTGAAAGCCACCCAGCTTAAGCTCATATTGCAGATCTATGATTAATACTCTCTGATCAGAAGCATGTCAACTTAGATCGACACCTCACTATTTGTATTATCTATTAATCACTTCAAGGTTAATCTCAAATTGAGACAGACGATTTGAATTTCGTCTTCATAAACATACCCTTTGCTATAAATTTTCGATAGACACATTCCTTTGACTCGGTGGGGCTGATTATTTGGAGTAGGCAGGGTTGTAGTCGCTGAGCCGTTTACAGTGATAACAGAGTAACAAGCAACAGGATAAATACGTCTGAGTGACTTAAGTTTATTATCGGCTTTGATAAGTGCCGCCTTCGTCGCCGGCGTAATTAGGAAATAGTTTCAGACTACGATAATTGCAGTAGTTTTACTTTTATCCTCTTCAAAACTACGATTTATTAGAAAAACGAAGGAAAATTTCGAAAAGACCTGACAAAATTTATATACATATGCACGTATTAACTTCTATCCGTTGCAAGCGCGCTTCGACTAAAGCAAAGAGTTTCAGATTGCTATTGTACAATGCTGTTTCCCCTAAAGTAAATCGACTTCCAATTTTTTTTTAATGTCATTCAAATTTCATTTCCCATTATTACATAGTTTCCATTCTGAAGATCAGAGTGAAATTTAAGATTTCGATCCATGCTCTATTCAATCCCCATTTTAACAGCCTGTGTGAAAAACGACCTTCGTGTCTTTCATTTCTTGATATAGACGCCTATGTTCGCTTTACTGTGAAACCTGATGACCCAAGCTATGTTAGTAAAGGTCACAATGTTAAACTGATGTGGGACTACAATCCCAACGATCAACCGACAGCGATTATCTTCGGCGTGGCTGTTCAGCGGAGTACGCTTGTACCCTTGCTCGTAAAACAGAATGGCAGTGTAAGATTTTCCCGATACATACCATCTGCCTACAAGGGAAGAGTAAAGTTGGAAGGAAGAGCTACTTTGGTCATTAAGAACATAACTTCTCGAGACAATTTTGTCTTTTTTCAATGTGCGCTTGTACCAGGTGGTCCAAGTATTATTCAACTCGTTTTGATGGGTATGTATTCAAGCTTTAAGGTATTTAAAAACGATCTCAAAAATTGACGCTCATTTAAGAACGATAAAAGTCAGTTCAGCTAGACTGCTAACAATGAGAGCATTTTTGTCACTCCGCTTGTGGTCTATTCCTTATCGTCAACGAACGAAAACGTCTCTTTCTACGACAATCCAACAGGCATAACAACGTAGACATGGTAAGCATGCAAGAGTTACTTTTTTGCATAGGTGAGTTGCAAATGAACGCTTAGTAACTGATGTTTACAGTTTTGTTGAAAAAAAAAAAGCATCTACTTTCAAAAGATGTCATTGGAAAGAAAGTTCAGACACTTATTTTAGGGTCTATTGCCACTGGTGTCTGAATAATTGTTACAGAAATAAACTGCACTGGTGCCGCGCTTCCTGGAAACTCCTGCTTGCAGGCTGAGACTATGCTTGCTGCAGTTCAATCGTTGGAGACATAATCAAAACCATACTCTTTGAGCTACTTCTTCAAAAATATTCTCCCACATAATTTTGCGGTGAGAAGCAAATCGAAACTCTATTTTATCTCCAATAGTTTGTAACCAAATACATTTTTGGGTTTCCATTCTTTTACTAAGTGATAATGTGTTGACTGACCGTACCATCATGTTCCTTGTAAAAATTTTGTCAGCGAGGCAGAACATCAGAAAAATTTGTGTTGTTCACTGGAAAATGGCATTTCATCTGAGAACGTCTAGTCCATAGTGGCGATTAAAATGGAAACAAGTAATTGTGGGGGGAAAGTACCGTTTAAACACAGTATATTTTCCACGGGAAACTTCTAGAAGCAAAGAAACGGATATTTAACATGCCAGTCGACACAGACAGTAAATATATCTTGGCGGTCTTTTCAACCTTTGCAAAAATAGCTGTCACAAAGCAAAAGCAAGATTATTATAATCAATGAAATATGCTTTATTCAAATATTTTGCGCAAGTTTTACCCGAGTCTGCAAAACTAGCAATTCCAAAACAAAAACCTCTAATAACCTCTAGTACAATCCGATAGTTAAGACAAATCACATCGTTTGTTTTACATAGCTAGGACAAAACATTTTGTACATGTGCAGTTTTCTTTGCCTTAAAGTTTCGAATAAAATGCAGCTCTACTGACACTGTACTTGCCGACCCCAGGGGAGGACATGCAATAACTTTTTTTTAGAAGTATGAGAAAGCTGTATAGAAAATTTCGCAACTAGAAGCACATAGTTCGAAGAGTATCTATATATTTCGTTTTGTCGAAAACACCGTATAAAATCATACTAGTTGCTAATGTTAGTTGCTGTTTCGTTTTATTTGCCCACCACTTTTGAGAAGTCTTCCAAAAGGTTACAACAGAAGAGCAACCTATGAACATATGATCTAGGGAATGTGTATCAGCTTAGCATGAATACATACATCATTCTCAGAAATTTGGGCTCTAAAAGGAGACTTTTTAGTAGCGAGAGTGTTGTATAATCTTGTCTTGAAACATTGTTAATTTAATGCCATACTTGATATGAAAGGGTAATTCGTACAAGATTTTAGTTTCAGCAGTAGGTGATTCAAAGAATTTCCTCAAGAACAAGTTGTACACATATTTAGTGGAAATGGTTCCTTCTTTTTCCTCGCTTTTTGGGCGTAAATTACGATACTCTGGCGCTCCGATCGGTGCAAGCATACCCCAATGCTGTGATCTCATTTGTGCGAGATACACACCCTAATGCAGCAATTTGATTGATACGTGATACATATCCTAATGGAACAATCTGATGGGTGCGTGGTACATACCCAAATGCCACCATTTGATTGGTGCGAGCGACATACCACTCTTTACGCTAAAACAGAGGGTTTTTTTTTAATAACTCAATAAAAGTGCTTACAAAATAGAAGGGACACTGGAATACGCCTCTGTACAACTTCACAGCTTTTCACTGATGAACAATTTATTATGATAAAAGGGAAAAAAGGCACAACAAAAATCAGTTAATAACTAAGTTCACCAACACTCCAGAGAGCAAACTCATCAGGGCAGGATTCTCGTTACTGTGTAGCTTGTGCAAGATGACTTTACCATGGTAACGAAAATTTTGGAGTAGAAATGCTCATAAAATAAGCCTTATAATTCAGCTTTTCCTTTAAATACCGGTTATGAAACTAGTAGTAATTTGTAAACACTAAATACAGACGCACTCTGTCAGTCGCAGTACAATGGTGAGTAACCTCGCTTTCATTCAATTTCTTCTTGAATTGGAAGGATTTTCTGGCGTCTTTTGAAGAAATTCAAATGGGAAGTTATGCGCGATTCGAGAATACTGAAACGAAAATATATTGAGCACCAGATATCGAAACAAAAGTAATAACACTGGCTGTATCTGCAAGACGTAACAATTATGCACTCCCAAAAAATAGTTTACAAAAAGTCCTTTGGAAATAATGACGCCGAGGTTGCCAGGGATTTAAGCGAATTCTCGAGACGCCGGCAAATGAATGAAACTAAATCTCACATAACTATCTTTTGTTTCATGCCCTCCAAGACAGTTCTCATTAAGTCCCGCGAATCACATTGACATTTAAAGGGTATATAACTCAATGCCAAGTGATAATAGTTTGATGGTTTCCAATTCAATGAGTCTAAATGTAAAGAACTGAGAATATCATTCTCCAGATCAGGTAGTCTGTTTGATCATATTACTATCAATGACAAGCAAATCGAAGTTGTTTCATCTGCAAGGTTGTTAGGAGTGATAGTCTCGGACAACCTCAGGTGGAACGCACATGTAGAATCTATATGCAAAAAGGCTGCGAAGCGTCTGTACTTCCTAAAACAGCTAAAGCGCGCTAAAGTTCCATCTGAGGATATGCTACTTTTCTATACGACATGTATACGCCCTGTATTAGAATATGCGTGCCCAGTTTTTCATCATTCTTTGCCGCAATATCTGTCCAATGAAATGGAAAGGTTGCAAAAACGCGCGTTGCGGATGATTCAACCTGACTTATCCTACGCTGAGGCTCTAGTAGCTCTTGACGTTGCGTCACTGTACGAGAGGAGGGAGATCTTGTGTGATGCTCAATTTGATCAGATTGTAAGGGACGAAAACCACAAGCTCCATGATCTACTGCCTCCACGCAACGAGTCCACCTATCGCACCCGCAGCCAGAGATACTTCAAGCTACCGATTTGTAAGACAAATAGGTTCAAAAACACATTTATCATGGCGAACAGTTTTAATTATTAGTAGCTATCTTAATTATTTGTATTTTAACGCTCGAAACGTCAGCTTTTGTAATCATTACGGTGGCTAATTTACCATTTCAACTTTGTTGATATATCCAAATTATCTTTTCACTGTTACCCAATTTAGTTTCAAAAAAAAATGTTTTCCAAAGAATGCATGGAGTATTAATCCGTCGATTCCCTGTGATCAGAACAAAGTAAACCAGGTTAGAATAGACTCCACTTCAACAATTAACATAGCGATGTAGCCGGCTAACCTCGGAAAATAATTATGGGACTCTATCAGCATTTGAATCAGCAGAAAAATTTAACCGCAGTGGATAGTGTTTGTTCATTGTTGATTTTAATTGACATTCAGTTCCGTTGAGTCACTTTCGAGAATTCCATTTTGCGGAGTCAGTGTCACTTTTCAGAAATGCTTGTTTTTGAACGCATATTTCAGGCTCTCTACTGAATTTAGAATTACAACGTCAGGATATATTCGGCCTTGGTCGCTTTGCTCTACGCTTGCATGAATATAGGCTGAGGAGAAACTTCTACGGAGGAAGAGAATGCGTTATGTCTAAAACTGAAAGCCACGCAGTTTACGCTTTCTATAATTAACACTCTCCAGTCAGAAACATGTCAGTTTAGATCGACACCTCAATAGTTATCATATCTATTAATAACTTCTAGGGTCATCTGAAATTGTAACGGACGACTTGAGTTTTCTCTTCATGAATATACGTGTGGGACTGATTATTTGAAATAGGTAGAGTTGCAGTCGCTGAGGCATTTACAACGATCACCGAGTGACAGGCAATAGCACATATAAGTCTGAGTGACTGAAGTTTACCATCGGCTTTGATTAGCACCGCCTCCGTTGCCGGTGTAAAAATAGCTTCGGAATATGAATTCCACCATCTTCATATTTATCCTATTGAAAACTACGTTATTAGAAAAACGGAGGAAAAAACTGAAAAGACTTAGATGTTTATGCACAAAACAACTTCTATCCGTTGCAAGCGCACTTCGACAAAATGGTTTCAAAATGCTATTGTAAAACGCTTATTCCTCTTAAGTACATCGACTTCCAATTTTTTATAAGGTTATTCAATTTTCATTACCCATAATTACTCAGTTGTCATTCTGAAGATCAGAGTAAAATTCACGATTTTGATCCATGCTCCATTCAATCATGATGTTAACAGCCTGTGTGAAGAGCATCAGATCGATATAATCCAACTGCATCTCGGTCGACACGAACTTTAAATATGAACCCCAAGACACAATGTCGAATTCGCCGAGAGGTTTTCAACGTGATTGAAAAGAGTTGGGTGAAAAAAAAGGCCGCGTATCACCGCTTACTGATCGTTAGCCAATTATTTCATAGATTTTTGTGACACTCTTTTTATTATACTCTACGAGTATCATAAGCTTTTCTTTTCCTTTTTGCGACTTTCGTGTATTCCGTTTATTGATCTAGACGCCTCTTTTCGCTTTACTGTGAAACCTGCTGATCCAAGCTACGTTAGAAAAGGCCGCACTGCTAAATTAGTATGGGACTACAAACCTTACGATCAACAAACAACGATTGTCCTCAGTGTAGCTGTTCAGAGTACATTTGTACCATTGCTCGCCAAACAGAATGGCAGTGTGACCTATTCCTCAATTATACCATCTGCCTACAAGGGAAGAGTGAAGTTGGAAGGAAGAGCTACTATGGTCATTGAAAATGTAACTTCTCAAGAAAATCTTGCCTTTTTCCGATGTGAGCTTTTATCAAGTGATTCTAGTATAATTCAACTGATTTTGATGGGTACGTATTCAAGCTTTAAGGCATTTGACTTAACTGAAAAATTTACATTTAAGACTGATAAAGGTCAATTCAGCTATACTGCTATCGATGACAGCATTTTTGTCTCCCCACTTGTGCTCCAGTTCTTAACTTCTTCTTCTTATTTTATCTCATCTTCTCTTTTGGGAACATCAATCCTGTATTTTTTTTTTTTTTTTTTTTTATACTAGACAATTATTGTATTATTATTGGGGAACCCTAAACCTCTCTTCAAGATCATGGTGTGGTGTTCAAGGGCAGACTGTCATTAAATGAACACATATGTAACACTATGCCTTCTTGCCTGACAACCTTGGAGGGGAAAAGAAAAAACAAGTAAGGAATACAAAATTAGGACTGAAACCTTTCAATTAATATTTGAAAAACAAGAAGGCAGGTTGACAAGACACTAAAGATCCCCTTGCAAACGTACCAAAGCGGCTGTGTTTTGAAGAAGCTTGAAAAGGGGATGGGACATAATACTCTAAGATCACAAAGAACAGTGGCTGAACTCATAGGGAAGGCAAGGGACCTGAAACTTCATCGGACCTGAGTTGTACCTTTTAACACTGCCCTAAACAAATCAATTTGATCTTT